CAGGTATTACCTTTCTCTGTCATCATACATTTCCTTCCTGATGTTTATGTGCCAAAAAAACTTCCTCAGCATCCCGTAAGACCCAACAGAATGCAGCACGCAGTGAGAAGCAGGCACATCTAAGGGGGTTGTTCACTATGGAGCCGAATGATCCAGCTGTAGCTTCTGCTGATCCTTCGGCTCCCTTCAGCCGCCTCTGCCCTATTCACAATAGCCTGTACAGCAGCCGAAGGCGGCCGAGTGGCATATGCTTCAGCTGGACTGAGCCGAAGTGACAGCCGGAGCGTGGAGAAAGATCCGATCTCCAGAGACCGATCTCCATGCAAATGACAGCTGGACGGAGCCAGCCGTGATCTGACACTGCTAGCTCCGCCCAAATGGTTTTCTTTTGCCGGCATCTTTGCCAGCGGTTTTTTTTTTTAATTATTTAAAATTTTCTTTTTTTTTCATTTTCTTTAAACTATTTTAATTTGCCTAGTTTCTAACATTTTTAAAATAATTTCTCAACTTTTTTATTTATTTATTTCACTCTTTTTCTATTCTACTTGGTACCGAGCAGAATAGCCGAGACAAATGCCACTCGGCGGCTTTCGGCTATTCACTTACTGCTGTTTGGACCCTATGAGAATAGGGGCGAATGGCAGCGAGTGAGCTGCCGGAGCTTCGGCTCAGCCGATCCAGATATTGGATCGGCTGAGTCGAAGTCCTTCTGCACTAATGTACGGCTGATTTTAGCCGATGTACGGCGGGCTGAAGTCAATAGCCGAACAGCGTTCGGCTCACTCACTTCGACTGGATTATTATATATCTAAAGGGATCCTGGTGTTCTTTCACAGAACTCATAACACAGAATGCTGTGATATTTACAGGAGTCTGTCAACCCCTTCCACCAAAGAAGCAGCAGACAGACCTAGTGTTGACGTCACTGGGTCCCAAAACAGGTAATTCTTGAAATCCAAAATTATTTCATTGAAAACGTTTAATTGGATGTTGATTACAAGGGAGGGAACAAGGGAAGGTATTACATGTGTACGCTACACATCAGCTTTATTGCTGTCATCGTATCCTTCCATTGCAATCTGCATCACGCCAAAGTTTCTTACAACTAACAGAGAAATCAAATGATCTTTCCCGGCCGCCATGACAATAGTCTTCAGATTCAGATATTTTTTTTACCAGAAGTTCCACATTGACGACACTGGAAGAGACTTACTGAGAACAGATTACTAATAAAATGGCGATGGGATGACTGCCGTGCCAAGAGATGACAACCAGGATCAGAACGTCTCCGTATTGTATTTTAGAGTCAGGAAAGTGTAAGAAGAAATAAAACGCGATGATGAACCGTTCATGTGGAGAAACAGGAGGCTGGAACAAGGGCCCCTCGAAGCTGCAGCTTCCTGCTTTTAGAATGAAAGGGATTTCCAACAGATCAAAGCCTGAGGGGGGGGGCATAAAACGGGCAAACCTCAGCTCCTTCTCTACCGTGAATTCCTCAACTTCCTCTGTCTATTCATCTCCAGTATTCCGGGGAGCGGGTATTGTACACACCGGGAAAGAGCGGCCAGGGGATAACCAAAGCAGCGTGTCAACGCACGGGGGGCCGCCGAAAAGTAAAGCCGGGCCATACACTGGTAGATTTTCGGATGAAAAATCTCATCAGAGCATTTGACATTGCCATCAGAGACTTGATGAATGTCATTAAATCAATACTTCCTTTGGTTTTAACATTCGATTTTGGAGTTTACCGAATGAATTCAGTGTTAGAATTTTGTCTGTTCGATAATTTTTTTTCCATCCCGCTACTTCCATTTTTTTTGGTCACTGCAGTTGAAATTGATTGATTGAGCGTTCCAGAAACAAACTCTACTGGTGTATGGCCAGCTTTAGTTTCCATTGGGCATCAAACTCCTCGTAATTGGGCATCAGGATACAGTCCGTGTACCCATCGCACTCAGAGCCGCTGCTCCAAAAATGGAAGGTGATGTTTGCCTGATGAAGGGGATCCTGTGAGACCCCGAAGCGTTGTTTAGAGTGTTCTATTTGCAACTTGTACGGTAATAAACACGTACTGAACCTGCTTTGGAGTGCCGGTGTCCATCCTTTACTTGTAATTTGGCATCAAACGAGCGCAAAAGTGCACAAATGTGGTTTCTGCTTGCGTTGCCATTACTAGGTTGGCAATGCCAGCACCGAGCGAACAAGTTTTTTTCACCGCATGCATGTCACCGAATTTGCAACATATACTTTTTTCCTGCGTTTGGAACGCATCCAGGGACCCAATAGGGATCAATGGGGACTCAGATCACCGTGACCCTATGGTGTGAATGGGGGCTTAGTGTAGAGCCCGTTCAGGTTGTACTTTGGGTACAAGTGACCGTGTGGTGACATGTATGTATAGCCAAAACCTTTATACAGTGTGTGCGTATATAGTGTACATACTGTGATAGTTTGGGGAATATAGCCCAATGGTGCGCGCTAAGAGACCGCTCCTGAAGCCGGCTTTACCATAAAAAGGACAGTCTTTATTCATTCAAAAGGTGAACAATCCATGAACTTCACAAAATAACTCGCCTTTCCTCAGCATAAATGAAGCATAACAGTTCATTGGACTTTCATCAAAACATCGTGTTTTGGTCTCACCGACATCTGGCTGTCCCATAGACTCCCAGTGACAGTGTGATAGTCCCAGGACTTTACCGTATTTCTCTGTAAATACAGGGCTTAGCAGCTTTCTTCAGCTCCAAGCGGTTCAGTATTCACCCCTCATGGGTCACTGTCTCTCTAGCAGGTATCTCAGGGTCCACAACCCTCTTGACCTCTCCAGCCTTCCTGCCTGTGTCACTGGTGCTCGCGCATGCAGTAGAGTCTCTCTGTGGCCATGTGCCCCCTGCACACCCACAACTCTCCTCTGAGCTCTGGGCTGGCTTCTTAATGAGGCTGCTCTCAGCCACCTGATCAGCCCAGGCTGGTCATTGGCAACACCTGGCTCCAGGACTGTGAGATTTCATCCCACCCAGAACTCTAAGGGTCTGTTCACACCATATGCAGTGCGTTCCGGCCACGTTCCAGCCGGAACGCACTGCATTGCATTGCGGCCGGCTCCATTTTTTGCCAAGCAGGAGGGGGCATGTTGGGCCATTGAAGTGAATGGAGCCGTAGCCACGCCCTGCGGCCGCAATGCGGTCGCCCGCATGGGATCGCAGGGCACATTGTCAAAATAGTGCTCGCAGAATTTTGAATGCACCGCACTGGGCTGCAGGCACAATGTGCTCTGCGATCTCGTGTGGGCGATCACATTGCGCCCGCTGGGCGTGGCTACGGCGCCATTCACTTCAATGGCCCGCCACTCCCCCTCCTGCCCAGCAAAAAAAGGGAGCCGGCCGCGATGCAGTGCGTTGTGGCCGGAACGCACTGCATATGGTGTGAACAGACCCTGAAGGTGCCCATGCAGCTTACGAATATCGGCCGAATTTCGCATGCGATCGCGTTTTTGTCCGATATTCATAAGGTTGATGAGGAGTGTACAACCGCGAATACTGTACAATCGATCGACTTTTGACTAACAAGCAGGTTAGAAAACTTCGGTCGATCGTACGATTTTCGCAAGGTTGGTGGCTTTTCCGTACGCCAAAATTTGTGCGATCTACACTGCACATGCGCAGACGAAAATTCGTCCAGGTGCTTTCTTCTAATTGCCGCTCATCCAACCTTGCGATAATCAGGGCAGGATGGGGCCGCCGTACGAAAATCGTACGATGGTTCCATCATCGGACGTAGAGTTTCGTCCAGTGATCGCAAGGTGTATGGCCAGCTTTAGAAATCTCCAGAGTTCCAGATCACAGCTACAATTAGGAAAACCCGGAAGAATCTGAAAAGCCAAGTTCTTCCTTATAAAATGGTTCACATTCTGGACCCTCTCAGCCTCCCTGGCTGAAAGTCCTGGGTGCCAAAGTTGCCATACTACACCGTGGCATTGCCATGCACTGCTACAATACGTATTAGATTGCAGTGGGAGTAGATTAGAACTCTGTCGGGTTTGTACGGCTATCTTGGTCTCCGTTAGAACTATTTCCCGTCTTATACCTCCCTATGAGTTTCCTATATTGTACAATGAGGTTGTAGCCCATGTAAACAGATCAACAGACCCAAGAACTGGTGATCTAAGCTGGCCATGAGATGGGATGACATTCAACCAACTCCAGCTAAAAAAAAAATAACAAAACAAAAATGAATATCCCAGTAAAAGATACAATGGCCAAAATATATTTTTGTTACAATATTCATCTTCTTCCTTCCAGAGATTTCCCCCACATGAGACTATTATCTCATTCATCCCACTTCACACACACACACACACACCAGCCTCCTTGCCTCTCCTTTTATTGAAAACTATTATTATTCGTTACATATCATTTTACTTCTCATAGAAACAATTTGAACTATTTTTAACTAATAAAAGTTACGTTTTACCTCACTTCATGGCGCAGACACATTCTACTCCCAGCTCTTCTGTAGGTGCCGATACACATCATCTTTCATTCCAATATCAGCGATAAACCGCAGGCACCACCCCATCTCAATAACCTCCTCAGTAGCCTCCTTCACACGCTCACTCCACTCAAGTGCCGGTGTTCTATCGAAAGTTCCAACTCCTCGGGATCTCCAACCACCTGACTTCCGGTTTAGTTAGAAGTAAGAGTTTTGGCCGAGAAGGCTCTACTGCACGTGCGCCACCCGCGCCATTTCCCTATACACATACTACACAGCAATAAAGTATTAAAATGAAGTAGGGTCAGACTAATCCAGCACGTTTTAATCTTAGTTGCCCCACTCAATATGTCAACCTTGCCGGGGTGTTTATGTCAGCTCTCAAACAAACTTGGAAGTCCTCATATGTCTGGTGTCATAGCTGATCACATGTGCATTACCATGGCAACAGCAATCCAAATAGAAGCTAAGATGGCCCCTTTCTTGGCTGGCAAGCAGGGGCGGGCAAACTCTGGTCTGTTGTGAAACTACAAGTCTTATGAGGCATTGCAGGATTCTCACAGCCACAGGCATGACTCCCAGAGACAGATGCATCATGGGATTTGTAGTTTCACCACAGATGGAAGGTCAGAGTTTGTCCACCCCTGCTTTAACGGATAGAAGAATGTAGTTCTGCTTTAAGTTAGGATTTGGTGGAGTGATTCCGCTTTAGGCCGGTCATACAGTGGTCAAATGCCGGCCTAGTCCTGGTGGTTTGGCCGACATACTACCAGTGTGTGGCCGTGTTGGGATTTGGTGGAGTGATTACGCTTTAGGCCGACCATACGGTGGTCAAGTTTCGGCCTAGTCCTGGTGGTTTGGCCAAAATACTACCAGTGTGTGGCCGTGTTGGGATCCCGCCGTTTGACATATGTCAAGTTTTCAATCAACTTAAGTCGACGGAGCCGGTCCGAAAATCCTCGCCTGAGCAGTGACTGTAGCAAATCAGCACACCCGCCGCTGTCAGAATACAATAGGCCGATGGTGAGATTCCCCCATCCGCACTGATAGCGTGAATAGGGGAACCGACAGTTTTCCCATGGGGCCGGTCCCTCGCCCAGCCCTGTGTAAGCTATGAGGGGGATTTATCAAAACTTTAGCAGGCAGAATCTGGAGCAGTTGCTTATGGCAACCAATCAGCTTCTCTATTCAGTTTGCTCAGTTAAGCTTTGAAAATGAAGGATGGAAGCTGATTGGTTGCCATGGGCAACTGCTCCACATTCTGTGTTTTGATAAATATCCCCTCACGAGTTGCTGGAGTTAGGCTTCATTCACATATAACGTTTCCTTCACGGTTTATTCATGCGGAAGACCGTGTGGGACGCAAACACTATATGTAAAACGGATTCCGCTCGTTTACGGCCATTATATTATATTGCCGCGAACGTGCGGAATTCGCCGGATTATCGCGTTTGCACTATTTTGGGCACCGCGCGGTTTCATATCGTGTGGTTTTCCGCAATAGTCTGAACAATGCACATTGAAGTGCATTGTTTTTTCTGTCGCACAGCCGAATACGTGCGGACAGCCACCCCAGCGTGAATGGAGCATTAAAGGAGAACTATGGGGTTAAGTCTTTTCCCCATAGTTCTCCTTAGGGTAACGGGAGGACACAAACTAACGTCCTCCCATCATCCTAGGCTCAGTATACCGCGAGCTGTAGCTCGTGGTATACTGACACGCCGCAGTATACCGTGAGCTGCTGCTCGCGGTATACTGAGACGCCGCAGCTGAAGCGGATACTGACAACTCTGCCGGGATCCGCCCAGCTGCGTGACTGACACCTGGTTCTGCCTATCTAGAGGCAGAGCCAGCTATACCCGCCCCCTCCCCCATCCATTCCGCCAGTCAGCGCTGGTGGATCGGAGCTGGGAGGGGGAATCCAGCTCCTCCCCTGTCACGGCAGAGAGCCGTGACAGGATCGAGAGGTGAGCGAACGCCGGTATGTGTTCGCTCACCTCCCGATCTACTGAGCCGACCTGTGACAGTCTCATTGTCACAGGTCGGATCTCCTTTAAAAGTAAGTATTTGTATCTAGGGAGGTGCAAATCGAAATCAACCTCACCAACCAATCAACTTTCCACCATCTTTGCCCCTGTGTAGACTCGTAGTAACACTCGGAGCGCGGTTGGTTTGCGCTTAACGCGGACATTTACGTTTTTCGTACTCCGATAAATAAATACAAGTCCAGCAGCTGCACAGATTTGCTCACCTCAGTTCCTCACTTCCGAATAACAAGCGCCCGGATCTCCCGGATTAGAGGAAGTCAGTAATATTCCATTTCGGGACTGGATTTGGCATCGCGTCCCCCCCCTGCGACGAATGCCCCGCAGAGCGGCAGCTGTGCGAGCCGCTGTTTGGAGGGGAACGTAGGATGTTGCCCTGTTACCTTTGATCCCTTGATATTCCCGGTCTCCCTCCTCTCCGTCCTTTCCTCCCTCTATCCTGCTGCCCTTGGAGCTTTTTCTCGTACATCCTGTCCCCCCCCACAATGATTTCTGCAGACTCAGGAGAGGGTGGTGTACTGGGGTGGACAGTCACTTCCTCCGACCCTTCTCTCTCCCTCTCATTCCCAGGCCAGGAAAACAATGCCAGTTCTCCGCTTCATTACTGAGGTCATAAGAAAGCAGAAAAGTTTGGCGCAAGCAGCGGCACCACAAACCGTAATCGGGCGACCGCATATCACAAAGAATTACCATGCTTGCTTCTTGTAAAATTCTGTTTTTCCTTTTTGTTATCTTTTTTTTTTTCATCTCAAACGGCAATCTCGGTGAAGAGACGTGAAGAAAAAAGTAACACACATCAGTTATCCCCCTCGGGAAATGGAGGGGAAACACAGATGGAGTATTAAAAGGCATCCTATGGCACCTGACGAAAAGGGCAAAGTTTCCCATGCTTAAAACTTTGCCAGAGTTGCGTTCCACTGCAAACGCAAAAAATAGGGCTTGTTCGATTACACCACTCTGGAACGCACGCGCTTTCTGTGTGAACAAGGCCTCAGAGAAGGACCCTTGCTTTCTCTGGGGAAGCAGTGGTCTCTCTGCAGAGGTCTCACACACACCCCCCATGCTGAGTCAGACACATATCTCTGCAATCAGCAAAACCCGTGCTGCCTGCTGATTGGAGTCCTCCAGCTCTTACTCATAAAGGGCATGCCGGTCCTCTGCAGAAAGTCTTCTGCTTCCACAGGTAGAGCAAGGATCCTGCTCAGCAGCATGCTGGCGGGGGACAGGCTTTTCTACCCAGGCTGTGGCTGCTTTAGAAAGAAAATTAACTCTAAGGCATTGAACACCTCGAGGGGGATTTATCAAAATTGGAGCAGTTGCCCATAGCAACCAATCAGCTTTTTTCTTCAGTTTGTTCTGTTGAGTTTTGAAAACGAAAGATAGAAAATGATTGGTTGCCATGGGCGACTGCCCCAGATTTTGCCTGCTCCAGTTTTGATAGATTCCCCTCGTTGTGTTTTGATGTGCCCGGGATGTATGCAGATGATTGAAACTGAAAGTTCACTTGGGCTTTATTATATACATCGATCAGCCATAACATTGTGACCACTGACAGGCTGGGTCTGTGTGTGCCACTTACCTGGGGAAGAGATGGCACCAGGATGCACTATGGGAAGAAGACAAGATGGTGAAGGCAGTGTGATGCTTTGGGCAATGTTCTGCTGGGAAATCTCTGGTCCCGCCATTCATGTGGATGTTATTTTGTCACGTACCACCGACCTAAACATTGTTACTGACCAAGTACACCCCTTCATGGAAACAGGATTCCCTGATGGCAGTGGCCTCTTTAAGCAGGATAATGTGCCGTGCCACACTGCAAACATAGTTGAAGAATGGTTTGAGGAACACAACAACGATTGTGAGGCCTACAAATTCTCCAGATCTCAATCCAATGGATCATCTGTGGGATGTGCTGGAGAAACAAGTCCGATCCATGGAGGCCGATCACCTCACAACTTACAGGCCCCGTTCACATTGAGCGATTTATCGCGCGATTTTTGTAGCGATATCGCTCATATTTCCGCACTATATCGCTCTATGTAGCTTCACCAATACATTTCAGTGTAGCTGTTCACATCTCGTCGCTCAATGTCGCTCAATATCGCTCAATATCGCTTGTAGCTCGTCGCTGGTAGCTTGTCGCTTCTTCATGACCCTTTTTTAGAGCGATTTTGAGCGATATTGCATACAGCCCAATAGGAAGATGTCGCGCGATGTCACGCGACACGTCGCTCAATGTCGCTCAAAGTCGCGCGATTTGCATGTCGCTCAGTGTGAATGGGGTCACAGGTAGGGTTGCCACCTTTTCTTCAAGCGAAACCCGAGCACTCCAGCGACGCATGGTCATTTTTGAGAATGAGTTGTGGCTTGTTCACATGTAAAAAGTGCCGCCCATTCATATGTAAATATCACAGTAGAGACTATTTTCAGTGGGGGGGCAGTAGCCCCTATATTCATTTTGGTTGCCCCTGTCTGCCTGACATCTTGTGTCCAGGTTTCTGCTGCCATGAAACCCGAACGCAGCATTCAAAACCCGAACTGTCCGGGTGAATCCTGGACAGGTGGCAACCCTACTTACAGGACTTAAAGGATCTGCTACTGACGGCTTGGTACCAGATACCACAGCACACCTTCAGAGGTCTAGTGGAGTCCATGCCTGGACGGGTGATGAAAAGGGGGACCTACACAATATTAGTGGGGGGTGGTCATAATGTTATGGCTGATCGGGGTGTATGAATGACACCTCGGGGAGATCTCATCCTTTATTGTAGTTTTGCTGGTCGGGAAGCACACAGAAGATTTATAGCGCCGGGAATTCTCAACACGAGAACGTTTCTTCTTCTTCAGAGAATTGTATTTATTTGTTATGGAGTAGACATAAGAAAAGACATTTCAGCACGGTTCCCCTCCGCGCACCACGTCACAGGCCGCGGTTCCCATAACACTTGTGATCCCCGGCAGCGTCAGTAGACTGTGATCCTGCCAGTGGCAATAGCGGAGATGTGATCAGCCAGAGGGAGGAGGACGGAGGAGACGTGGAGGCCGAGACTGAGGCCAATAGAGGGGAGGAGGGGGCACTCAGAAGAGGCCTGCGATTGTTCTCCAAGGCCACGGTTCAATGTCTGGGGGGGTCAAGTGCTGAGGTCAAAGCTACGATTACGGCTGAGAAGTAGATCTGCGCAGTGGAGGGATGTTAATTTATAACCTGCTTCCTCCAAATGGCTGAACTCCAGATTTAAAGTGAAACAGAAAAAATATAAATTATGCAAACCCCAAGAAACTAAAATCTCACAGAAGACGTAACATGTTCATGTCACTTCAAAAGTTATTTTCAATATTATTAAATATACAGTTTTAGTTTCAAAGGCACTTCCTGTTATAGGTGACAACGCTCTGTCCCTATCTTTCGATTGTACTCTTGCATTGTCACCCTGTCACATGGGCTTCCGATGAAGACTACAAGCAGCCACTTCAAAACACATTACCCTGGTGATCCTGCCATGAAGATCCTTGTTCTGGCACTTCCTGTCGTAGGATGACAACGCTCTGTCCCTATCTTTCAATTGTACTCTTGCATTGTCACCCTGTCATATGGGCTTCCGTTGGAGACTACAAGAGTCAGTTTTAACACATTACCCTGATGATCCTGCCATGAAGATCCTTGTTCTGGCACTTCCTGTCATAGGATGACAACGCTCTGTTCCTATTTTTTAATTGTACTCTTGCATTGTCACCCTGTCACATGGGCTTCTGATGGAGACTACAAGCGGCCGCTTTAATACAAATCACCCCGATGATCCTGCCACGAAAATCCTGGTTCAGCCACTTCCTATTATAGGGTGACAACGCTCTATTCCTATCTTTCAATTGTACTCTTGCATTGTCACCCTGTCACATGGGCTTCCGATGGAGACTACAAGCAGCCGTTTTAACACACATTACCCTGGTGATCCTGCCATGAAGATCCTTGTTCTGGCACTTCCTGTCATAGGATGACAACGCTCTTCTGTTCCTATTTTTCAATTGTACTCTTGCATTAACACCCTGTCACATGGGCTTTCGATGGAGACTACAAGAGTCAGTTTTAACACACATTATCCTGGTGATCCTGCTATGATACTCCTTGTTCAGGCACTTCCTGTTATAGAGTGACAACACTCTGTCTCCATTTTTCAATTGTACTCTTGCACTGTCACATGGGCTTCTGATGAGAGACTACAAGCGGCTGTTTTAACACATATTCTGCACATATAGCCCACTGTTGTCACCCTCCGAAAACCTACCCTAGGAAATGCCATGCAGCCATTGCCGAGGACATGTAGACAGGAAGTGGCTGAAAGAGGCTGCAGGAGACCAGCAGCAAAAAAGTATGAAAAAAGGTGAAGGTGTTTTATGAGGAGAAAACATGACAATTGTTTATCATACACGGTGCTTTAGAAAACGAAATCTTCAGCCAGGGTTTACATCGACCTGAAAATAATTGCAATGTTCCTGTTGCTTTATTCATCTTTTTATTCTTATTTAAGGGGAATGTAAACAGAACAACACGTGAAGCTTGACACGGGAATATTATCAATACGTGTTCATGTCATACAATGTACAATGTGTCTTCATATCTGTACATGGGGGGGCAGCCATATTTGATCCTTACATAGCAAGTTCTGCTTCCTGTTGGTTGTGGTATGCGGAGGTTTGCCCAAGTCCTCGCAAAACCTGTCAGTGACCCCCCCCCCCGGACCAATCAGCTGTGGCCAGGGCATTCCCCAACCCGCAGCTAAACATAACCCAGGGGAATGCCCTGGCTACAATTGCCCCTGATTGGGCTGGGTGGGGGTGTCAGGGCCCTGTCACACCATCAAGAGTGCGTTCCAGAGGCCGAACGCACTGGAACGCACTCTTGATGGTGTGACTGGGCCCTGCCTGACAGTTTTGCACGGGCTTTGGCATACTCGGTCCACACCAAGCCCCCCGCACATTGCTGTTGTAGAAATGTTGCCATCAGCCGCTTCCACTGTCAGATTATCTCTCTGATGTCCCCGGAAGCCTGTGGAAGCTCATACTCAACCCAATCTTCGCCCAACACTTACAGCCCAATAGGACAGAACTGGTTTAGGGCCCCAAAAGGGTGTGTTTTGTCCCTGGGGTTTTTTCCCCCTAATTCTCAGTGTGGAGAACCGATAAGGAGCCCAAGAGAACCCTTGTTAGATTTATTGGAGAAGTGTGCCAATTGACTTGCCCCCTCACCACTGGACATCTCCGCTCCCCCCATGTGAGCTGTACATAACCTCCCATTACAAGCCCCACTTGGTGCCTGGTGCCCATCAAACACCTGACCAGACTGAAAAGACTTCAATACACTGTAGATACCCCTCGAAGTTTAGCCCTAGACAAAGCCAGGAGTTTTCAGACTGTTCCATTGGGGCCCTATCAGTACCATTTTGTAAACAATTCCATTGGACCCGGTGATGTACACCTCAAGAGCCCTGGGATGCCTGAAATCCAGGGTGCTCTGCCATGAAAATACTGACTTGAAGAAGGAAAGTCAATAGCTGACCCGCCTCACTATTGGTCCCTGAGCAGGCACACGAAGATGCTTGCAATGTACAATATAGTACCCCAGCATCGACAAAACCTAGGCAGCAACTATTAACCAGCTTCTGGTAGCTAGCCCTGCCCTCTCCTGCCACATTCGCCATACATGAGCCCATAACTGTAATGGTGGCCCATACATACCAATTCTAAGCCATATCCATAGAGGTGAGGGCCTTCAGTCTGGAAGCTAACCCATTACTGGGGGTTTTCAAGATACAGGGGAGCTATACAGGGGGTCAAATGAGAACTTGGAGGTCCCGTCTATTCATAGTAGGTAAGACTGTAACAAAATTCCACACAGGTTTGCTTTAGGGCCAACAGAGAGGCAGAAGATGCCAAAGAGGGTCGGTTAGCCATTGACGTTCCTTCACCAAGTCAGTATTTGTGTATAGACTGTCTTAGCCTATACAGGGGCCTGTCTCTGGACGCTGCCCACATATTCATGGTGTCAACACCTTGAATATGGAAAGACCCTTTAAAGCCTAAAACCGGAATATAAATGTGAAGTCGGGTAGGAAGGTATAACTTTAATGACAGGTAGAACATTCTGCTTTGTGGTTATCCTTATTGCTTTCCTTTCTTCTTCTTGGGACGGGATTTTCTCTTGGTCTTGGACTCTACAATTTGTTGAGATTGTCTCTTCAGAGCGGCTCTGGTGACCACGTCACCTTCATCCTCTCCGCTGTCTTCTTCGTCTGTTGAGAGAGGAGATAAGTTATGAATCAGTACCAGGTACTTGTTTCATATCACACCAAAGATGACTCACTCTGGTGCCCACGGCTTGCTTGGCAAAGCTCATTACAACTTGACTAGCAGCTCTTAAAAATGAACAGGAACATCTAAAATCAGGGAACTGCTAATACCTCCCAGGAAAACACTGCAACTCTGCCAAAGTCTGAAAGTCCACTTTATAGACCTTTCATTGATGTATCTCTGTGAAGGTTCTCTTTAATCCAGGTCATGGTATATCTGTAAAAAAATAGGTCAAGGCAACTGGAAACCAAGAAAAATACAGCAAGTCCAGTTGCCTTGACTTATTTTTTCATTGATGTAGTCAGCTGTGCTGAGACTCAGCAGCCTTTTCAATGTGTTATGCAGCTTCCCTCTCTGAGAACTACAAAAGGACAGTTCTTGGTATTTGGGAATGCATCAGTCTGCCTTATCAAGAAGGAAGCACCATATTTCCAAAATGAAAAGGTTGCATGGAGTTTGAGTAGATGGGAGATGGAGCAGATGGGAGATGGAGCAGATGGGAGATGGAGCAGATGGGAGATGGAGTAGATGGGAGATGGCGTAGATGGGAGTTTGAGTAGATGGGAGTTTGAGGAGATGAAGTTGATGGGAGATGGAGTAGGTGGGAGATGGAGTAGGTGGGAGATGGAGTAGAAGGGAGTTTGAGTAGATGAGAGTTTGAGGAGATGGAGTTGATGGGAGATGGAGTAGGTGGGAGATGGAGTAGATGGGAGTTTGAATAGATAGGAGTTTGAGTAGATGGGAGTTTGAGTAGATGGGAGATGGAGTTGATGGGAGATGGAGTAGGTGGGAGATGGAGTAGGTGGGAGATGGAGTAGAAAGGAGTTTGAATAGATGGGAGTTTGAGGAGATGGAGTTGATGGGAGATGGAGTAGGTGGGAGATGGAGTAGGTGGGAGATGGAGTAGAAAGGAGTTTGAATAGATGGGAGTTTGAGGAGATGGAGTTGATGGGAGATGGAGTAGGTGGGAGATGGAGTAGGTGGGAGATGGAGTAGAAGGGAGTTTGAGTAGATGGGAGTTTGAGTAGATGGGAGTTTGAGTAGATGGGAGTTTGAGTATATGGAAGATGGAGTAGATGGGAGTTTGAGCAGATGGGAGTTTGAGCAGATGGGAGATGGAGTAGATGGGAGTTTGAGCAGATGGGAGTTTGAGTAGATGGGAGATGGGGTAGATAGGAGATGGAGTAGATGGGAGATGGAGTAGATGGGAGATGGAGTAGCTGGGAGATGGAGTAGATGGGAGATGGAGCAGATGGGAGTTTGAGTAGATGGGAGATGGAGTAGATGGGAGATGGAGTAGATGGGAAATGGAGTAGATGGGAGATGGAGTAGATGGGAAATGGAGTAGATGGGAGATGGAGTAGATGGGAGATGGATTGATTCACAGACATCCCATTTGTAATGTGGACTCCAGTGGTGACATTTGTCCACCTGGAGGTCCTAACTCTGCTCATCTCCTCAATGAAAAAGGTGCAGATCCTTTTTTTCCTGATTGGTTCTATCATTTCTTTTACAGGAAGTGCAGTAGGAGAAGCGATATTCCCTACATGGCTTAGGAGTGGCTAAGAGGAAGTGATGAGCCGAGATGGGAAGACCTTCTTTGTGATCTTCTGAAGGTTCACCATGCTCCCATATCTGTCTTATCTATTGTGAGAGGCCTATGACTTTTTACTCTGCTTACTTTGGATAGGGTAAGACACATTGATGAGAACACTTGTAAGCTTACCTTCAAATGCTTCCTGCTTGGTGGGAGCTGGAAGTGCGATGCGCACGTTGTAGGCTGGAAGTTTGCCCTCTATCTTGGCCTGGAACTGGTGATAAAACATTGACTTAGTAACTTGACTTGTACATAATTCATAGTTTTAATTTCATTCATTTTTCACCATTGTATTCCACAGAGCTTTACAAAGAACTCGGAGCCATCGCATTAGTTCCCTCCCCCAAAGAGCTCACAATATAACATGCTTATGATGTATATACAGGTCAGACAAGTGACTGATCAATACGTTTTTCTGGTATGAATAAACATAAACACGAGTAGAACAACTAGCCACTGAGCTACCATATGACCTTCACTGATATTATGGAAAAATAACCCATGGGAGCCAAGCTTCAACCATCATCCATACTGTATTGTGGCCACTAGATGGAGCCGAGGATCATAGGAAATGTGATCATCAGCTCCATCTAGTGGCCATAATCTGGTATTTTCCTGATTCACTTTAATTCTAAGTATGACTTACCTGGACAAAATATATACTAATAACATTTGTTTTTGCCCCATTTCCACAGAACAAATGTAGATGCAATTTCACAGGAATATTGGTCCTGAGAATTTGGTATAACTGCACCCCTGGGTGTCTAGTGCAGGCCGGGGCCTCTTCCCTCTGAGTCCATTTGCATGAGTAACATTAGAACTGGAATTGTTATATACTTCCTGTTTGTATGTTATTTCTCAAGTCGAGTCTTCATTATTCTTCTGTCAGCTTTATTTTTTATATGTGCTTATCAATGCACTCACTAATTATTCTGCTTCTGACAATGTGCACAGACGACAACACATCAGCGGTTTTTGTTTGTACTGGGACTGGGGTATTAGAAGGGAGGTGGGAGGGTTTTAGGAAGAGGGAACGTTTGTTGTACTTCCAGTGGCAAAATGTGTTTAATAAAAACTGTCTGATTAAAAAAACCCTCTGTAGCTATAGGTACTGTGGAGAAATTAATCTTCAAAGTCACAACAGATGCACTGAAATGTTAGTTTTGTTTTCCTATATCTGTCACTACAGAATCTTGGCAGGCTTGTAATGTACACACTGCACGGCAGAGGTTTCTTAGCTGATAGAAACAGACTGAAACTGACTTCAGATCCTAGTTGTGATCTTTGAGGATGAATTGCTCTGCAGTACAAGCAGCTAGAGAGGTCAGGGATGGCTTGTTTCTGGCTGGGTTCACTTTTGCACTGCGGGAACACATGCGTGTTGCATGTTGGGGTGCTGCAGTGTCATTCATTCTTAATGGCACATGTGCTTTAGCGCGCAGCAACGCACGCTACCGTGTTTTGTGGTGCATTGTACCATTGCCTAACCAGAAAGGCAAAGCAATGTTAAGATTTATAAAAGGGAGACAATAGAGATTATACAATCTGAGAAGATGCACAGCGAATGCACCGATCAGCCATAACATTGCTACCTCCTGCCTAATATTCAGTAGGCCCCCCTTTGCCACCAGAACAGTCCCGACCCATCCAGCCATGGACTCCACTAGACCTCTGAAGGTATGCTGTGGTATCTGGCACCAAGCCGTCAGTAGCAGATCCTTTAAGTCCTGTAAGTTGTGAGGTGATCGGCCTCCATGGATCGGACTTGTTTCTCCAGCACATCCCACAGATAGTTAGATAGTATTTGAGGTTGAATAAAGACATTAGTCCATCAAGTCCAACCTATTGGAATCTCGTTCTAGGAGTACCCGTACCCCTGTATATTATGGTCCCTTAAGAAATAGTCCAAACGTTTCTTGAACAATTCCACATTATTTGCTGAAATCGCCACCTGTGGCAGTCAGTTCCAGACCCTAACCAATCTTACTGTGAAGAACCCCCTTCGCCCCTTGTGCTGGAATTTCTTTTCCACCAATTTTAGGTGATGGCCTCTAGTTTTTGTAATGGAGTTCATTTTAAACAGTTTATCGCTAATGTTGCTACCACCATTGAACATTTTGTACATGGAGATCATATCCCCCCTTAATTTCCTCACCTCCGATGTGAACTTGTTTAAATTTAGTAGCCTCGTCTCGTAGCTTTGGTCCTCCATACCCCTAATTAGTTTGGTTGCCCTCCGCTGGACTTTTTCCAACTCAAGGACATCTTTTCTTAGTACTGGTGACCAGAACTAAGACCAGACCAGATCTGATCCATTGGACTGAGATCTGGAGAATTTGGAGGCCAAGTCAACACCTCAAACTTATGGTTGTGTTCCTCAAACCATTCTTCAACCATGTTCGCAGTGCGGCAGGGCGCATTATCCTGCTGAAAGAGGCCACTGCCATCTGGGAATACCGTTTCCATGAAGGGGTGTACTTGGTCAGTAACAATGTTTAGGTCGGTGGTACGTGTCGCAGTAACATCCACATGAATGGCAGGACCCGAGGTGTCCCAGCAGAACCTTGCTCAAAGCATCACACTGCCTCTGCCGGCTTGTCTTCTTCTCATAGTTCTAATGTTATGGCTGATCGGTGTATGTTACAGGTACAAAGAGATCTGACTGACATTCCATAGACACTCCTTGTCCTCCAGGACACTCACCTCATCTTCCTCCATCTGTCTGAGGACGGCTGCAATATCCTGGCCCTCCAGCTCCTCTAGGAGTTTTTGCAGCTTCTTCTCCGTGGTGTCCAGGAGGTCCAGTACGTATTCATCAGACTGAGGAGACAGGTCCTTAGCCGGGAAATGACTTCTGGGCTGGAAGATGACAGAGGAGGAGATTATAAAAAATTAATGTATCCTTTGATTCTTCAAATAATTAAATGTCTACAGATAAAAGCGTTTTTTACGGATGTAAAATAAAAAGTTAAAGCTGAACTCCAGGCAGATATAAAAGACAGATATGAATGGCACTCTCTATTCATCAAAGCATCGTTAAATGTATTTTTCAATTAGATATCTGGATTTGGCATGGGATCAGCTGCTTGCAGTCATACAGTATAGCAGAGCTTAGGCTGGGAGAGGAAGAAGCAGCACCTAAAGCCAATCAAGTGTGCTGCAGTGCAAGAATCATGCTGGTGCAATTGAAAAAAAAAGTACTTGCGTTTCTTTCATTGCGACCACAACACACCATGCAGCCCCTCTGTAAGGTTGCATCACATGATGGCTGTTACATTCAAGGGTTTGGGCAGCTATAGAGCCAACGAATCACTTGCATGGTGCTGGAGAGCGTGTGTCCACCCTCTGCCACCGCCGCTGCTGTCTATCCTGGGCTCTGTTGTCCCCTGTGTGGGCCCGGGACCAGCATGTCTGGAAAGTCTGTCCCCCGTGTGGGCCCGGGATCAGCATGTTTGGAAAGTCTGTCCCCTGTGTGGGCCCGGGATCAGCATGTTTGGAAAGTCTGTCCCCTGTGTGGGCCCGGGATCAGCATGTCAGGAAAGTCTGTCCCCCATGTGGGTCCGGGACCAGCATGTCTGGAAAGTCTTCCCCCTGTGTGGGCCCGGGACCAGCATATCTGGAAAGTCTGTCCCCTCTGTGGGCCCGGGACCAACATTTCGGGAATGTCTGTCCCCTGTGTGGGCCGGGACCAGCATGTCGGGAAAGTCCGCCTCAATCAGAGGAAGGTCAGCACACAACCAGTGGCTGATCTCCCTTCCGACCACTGAAAGTGGAAGCGATGTGCATTACATCACCTCTGATGTCAGAGTGTCATTTCTCCGGCTGAAAGGCCAGAGAAAAGAAGCTGATGAAGTATAATCTGTGCTTCATCAGCTTCTTTAATGTCTATAGGTGACATTAGGAGTCTAATAGCCCCCTGATGTCTCCATACAAAGACCTGTCACATCCTCTTTGCTATCACATACAGTAGGGGGCTTGTTATCCCCTATGTGATAGAAATTAAGTTAAAGGAGAACTATGGGGTTAAGGCTTTTCCCCATAGTTCTCCTTAGGGTAATGGGAGGACACAAACTAGCGTCCTCCCGTCACCCTAGGCTCAGTATACCGCGAGCTGTAGCATGCGGTATACTGAGACGCCGCAGCTGAAGCGGATCCCGACAATTGTGCTGGCTCTGCCTATCTAAAGGCAGAGCCAGCTGTACCCGCCCCCTCCCCCGTCCGTTCCGCCAGTCAGCTCTGGCAGATCGGAGCGGGGAGGGGGGAATCCAGAGAGCCGTGACAGGATCGAGTGGTGAGCGAACTCCGGTATGTGTTCGCTCACCTCCCGATCTACTGAGCCGACCTGTGACAGTCTCATTGTCACAGGTCGGCTAGAACTATGAGGTGAGTGAAAAGCACTCACCTCATAGTTCTCCTTTAAGTGTAAAAAAAAAAAAAAGATGAAAAAAACTAAAGTCACTTATAATTTTTTCTAGAACATTACAATTGTTTTCCCACTACCACGTACATGCCCATACAAATGCAAACACACGTCGGGTGGGCCTACACTCGGAAATGACGATTGCACCACGCATGTTACACGCATGTTACATATCACTGCGAACATCTGAGTGTGATCAATAATGCCATCGATCACTGGTAACACTAAACTGATGAGGCGCTAAAAGTTTTTAAAGTGTCGCCTATGGGAAATTTTGGGTATTGTCGTTTTTTTTTGTGATTTCACGTGCGCACGCAGTTATAAAGCTTGACATGTTTGGTGTCTATTTCAGTTAAAAGACCGTGTTCATTAAAATGATCATACGCACCAAAAAAATCCCAGGCCGGGCACTCGCGGGCAATTTTATCTATTGCGATCATGCTATTGAAGTTGCTGGTGATCGTCACATACCCTGTTTCCCCGAAAATAAGACCTACCCTGAAAGTAAGACCTAGCACTATTTTCCAAAATTCCTGTAATATAAGACCTACCCCGAAAGTAAGACCTAGTTTGGTGGTAGCATGTGAGGGGGAACTTGCAGGAGAGATGGCATCAGCCTGCAGGACCATACTGTATTAAGGGGAGGACAGGGGACTCCCTCCAGCCAGCGCAGTGACAGGGAGCACTCCAGTACCATACTTCATCAACTGCTGTCCCCGAAGGCACTGCGTCATGTAATGGTACTGTACTGTAATGTGTACTGGTAAATGGTACTGTACTTTACCGCGCGGTCCACTGTCTGATGTCCCCACTGCTGCACCGCTGGTACCGCTGTCCTTGATAGCAAAGGAAGCCGGCGCTGTAGAAAGCAAGGCTGCGGCGGCGGAGGTAGCAGAGCCGCATTAGCCGATACTTCCTCTCTATAGCGCCGGTTACTATGACAGGTGGAGTGATACCAGACAACTTTAGATTGTTGTACATGAATAGCTTTAGATTGTTGTACATTTTGTTGCACATTAAAAAAAAAAAAAAGCCAGCCCCTGAAAATAAGACCTAGTGTGTTTTTTTGGGGCAAAAAAAATATAAGACAGTGTCTTATTTTCGGGGGAAACACGGTATATAGTTGTATGTGGTAGTGACTGAGCGCATACATGGTGCATTGTGTGATCACCAGCAATGATTTGCTCATCTCGGCTGCATTGTATGATTCCCTATGTGTCACCATCAATCATTATGGAATAAATCGCCAACGTGCACCCAGCCTGACAAAGGCGATAGTTGCTTTAAATCAGCGGGCACCTTAGCAGCATTCTAGAAAATGTCTGACGTCTGAGCCTGAGGCCACTGTACTGGCTCATGTAGAGGGCGCCGAGCCAAGCTGCCGGAGTCATGATTTGTTGTGTAAGCAGAACACTAGATAAGAAGTTTCTCTGCTCAGAAAACCATGACATGGAAATGTTGGAGTTCAAAGCAGCTGACCTTGTGCGGTCTACACTGACCAACCGGAATCTTAATTGTGTGTTCTCAGGGCCGGCCTTAGGCCTTTAGGCGCCCTGTGCGAGAAAGCTTTACAGCGCCTCTCAATGGCCACACCCTTTAGTGGCCACGCCCCCGTAACCACACCCATTTCCCCCAATAGATGCACCATTTAAAGACTCCTATTTTGTTAAGCCGCAAAGAAACATATTAAAAAGTGTGATAAAAATAAAACTTTTATTCAAAGGTATTAAACTTGTAGGCACAATAGAAGTATTCTTATCAAATAAAACAACAGAAGGTAAACAATAAATGTCAAAATACAATAGAGTCTATAAAAATAAAGTGTCAGGTCGTCATGCTGACCCCTTTTTTCAAGTAAGTGCATCTAGAAAAGTAAAAATAAAAAACAGAACACAGACCCCGGGCTACATGTAAATGAAGCCAGGGGTCTGTATTGTATTCAGACACATAATAATAATAATTTGTTTGAGAATGTGCAGCGGCCATGTTGGCCACCAGCGTGTTCTCTGAATGCGTGCCACCATCTTGGAGGCAGGGAGCATGACGTTACATGACGCCATGCATGCGTGGCGTCAGGTGACCTCACACGCCGATATTGGCCCCACCATCTTGGTGTATACCTAGATATACACCAAGATGGCGGCGCCCAACACGTGCGGTGTTATATGACGTCATGCGCCCTGCCTCCAGAGCACGCCAATGGCTGAATCCAAAATAGCATATAAATGTGTTTTGTTTGATGAAACAAATGAAAACTTTTTTAGTTTTCGTTCATTTCATCTGAAATGAATTTTTTGTCTTTCGCACTTGTCTAATAATATGTGTGTGTGTGTGTCGGGAGGGGGGGGGCAGTTTTCACTTTTTTAAAATATGTTTTTATTATTTTTTTCATATTTATTTATTTTTTACTGTTGGGGGGCTTCGGGGAAATATTAGGGGTCCAAACAGACCCCTGACATTTCCCTTGTAAAATAGAAAAGAAATTGAGGACACCAAATCCTCAATTTCTTTTTCTACAGCCTCAGCACTCAATGGATGGGAAGCTCTCAGAGGCTTCCCATTCAAATATTTACCATCAGCTGTTTCTGAATGGGGAGGAGCCTCTGTACTGAGTGCTTCTCCCCATTGGTGAAATCTTGAATGAACAGGCTGTGATGTAAATCACATGCTGTTCATTCATAACTGGGGACACATAGCGCTATGTGTCCCCAGTTATTTACAAACACTGGAGTGATCAGACGATCACTCCAGTGTTTGTCCTTCTCACACGGAGGACCGGTAAATATCACTGATATTTACCGATCCTCCGCTCAGCCACGCAGAGAGCCGCTGTCATCCTGAAACTGACAGGATGACAGCGGCTCCGATCTCCTCCCCGCTCGGCCATCCTGACAGCTGCGGGCGCGGCTTCTCTCCCCCTCACCGCTCCGCCATCCTGACAGCAGGCAGCGCTCCCTCCTGCGCCCCCCCCCGAAGTGGGGGGGCGGACGAGGGAGCGCTGTCATATCGGATGGCCAGCGGTGAGGGGGAGAGAAGCCGCCCACAGGACGAGCTGTGACGGCCGCACGGCGCCCTTGTTGCCATGGCGCCCTGTGCGGCCGCACGGCTCGCACACCCCTAAGGCCGGCCCTGTGTGTTCTCATCTGCGCTATGAGCACCATGGGGGGGGGGCCTTGATGGTTACTATGGGCAGCAGAGAAACTTTTCTTTGCTCCAGTTTATATACGGCAGGATGACTGGGAACGCATCAGAAACGCTGTTAGGAGTGCACAAGCGCAGTGATCGCAAGCTGAGCGGAAAATTTGTCTGCGGTCTAAAGACAGAATTAAAGACAATGTGTATTTTTTTGCAGACAAAAGAAGGAAGGGGAAGCTAAAGCTAGAAAAACACATTTAGGGGTCTATGTTGTTGAAACAATTTGCAGAGCCAATCGCCCTGCAAATCTCTGTGAACATTCATTCTGTGCAAGAACGTATGTTCTCACTATATTATGTTTTCAGGTTAAATGTAATGTAAGAGCACGTTATCGCCACTAGATGGAGCCGAGGAGCTGCGGAAATAAGTGTTTATCAGGCGGCCATAATATATTTATTTCTCTGTTCCTCAGCTCCATCTAGTGGCAGTTATTCCTCTGCTCCTCAGCTCCATCTAGTGGCAGTTATTCCTATGCTCCTCAGCTCCATCTAGTGGCAGTTATTCCTCTGCTCCTCAGCTCCATCTAGTGGCAGTTATTCCTCTGCTCCTCAGCTCCATCTAGTGGCAGTTATTCCTCTGCTCCTCAGCTCCATCTAGTGGCAGTTATTCCTCTGCTCCTCAGCTCCATCTAGTGGCAGTTATTCCTCTGCTCCTCAGCTCCATCTAGTGGCAGTTATTCCTCTGCTCCTCAGCTCCATCTAGTGGCAGTTATTCCTCTGCTCCTCAGCTCCATCTAGTGGCAGTTATTCCTCTGCTCCTCAGCTCCATCTAGTGGCAGTTATTCCTCTGCTCCTC